AAAAAAAAAAAAAGATCACGCACAGACAAAATGCTTCTATGCAAACTCTGATAAAGACTAAAGAATATAAAATAAGCAGACTATGCCCTAGCCTATGGTTTAATCCCTGGTTTACTACATCCCTGTAGTACAGTCAGCCCAACACTAGATGTCACTCTGCTTATTATGAAACAATGAGATGCTGCTGCAGTGGGGCTGTGTGTGCAGGGAGGAGGGGGGTGACTAACTTGGTGCACTCCTCCAGCGACTGGACGAGCATCTGCTGGAAGGTGCTGATCTCTTCAAGGTTGCCCAAAATCAGAGCCACATCTGAGCTGCTCAGTCTGGAGGAAAAGATAGGACGGGTAAAGTAAAACGGTGACAGCATATTCAGTGAGATGCAAAAAAACAAAAAGTTATTTGTTGTTTGAGACGTGTATCAAAATCTGATCCGGGTTCCTGTTGTACAACAGTCATGCTAAATTAACCTGGTTCTGGTTTCATCAAGCTTTACATGTGAATGAGTCGTACTTGTCGATGCTCTGAAGAGGTCGCAGGTAGTTCGTCAAGAGGCTCTGAAGGTCTTTAGAATATTCTGTCTCGTTTCTAAAATGTTCTGCAACACCTGCAAAAGAAAGTAAAAAAACAGCTTCAAATTAGAAAGTGTACCTGTCTCAAGGAGAGAAAGAGGTCTTGAAAAACAACGCTGTTCTTTGAGAGACATTTTTACATTACACTTTCTTTGTAGTCAAAACATTACATATAACTTATTAAAACACCATTAAACATAAATGTTGCTTCTGTGTATTAAAAAAAATGTAGTGAAAAATTGGGTCATTCAGGTTTGGAAAGTGAGCCACATAACTGATCCGTGTTTTCACTACAACTGTGATGGCAGTTTTCCAAAAACACCTGCCCTCAGCCGCAGTAACATTCTCATGGCTAGGTACAGAACATTTTAGACAAGAGGAACGAAAGTATGTCGGTGAGTTGTGTAGAGAGAGCTGTGGGTGAAAAGGCCACCTCGATTTTATCTTGGTACTCCATCTCATTCCGGCAAAAGAATTTACAAACACTGAATGGGAAAAGCAGAGATACAGATACAGAAAAAACCAGGGGAGAATAAAAGCGCTCAAAAAACAGAGACAAGACTTAAATTTTAACATGGTGTTAGTGGAGAAACAGAGACAAAAGAAAGAAAGGGGGAAAAAATGGAAAATAAGACAGAAATAACAGTTGCTTTCTTACCAAGTTATAGTACGTCTTGCTGATTGCAGAAGTGTCAAAGCCTTTAGGTGGGCTCTTAAGAGTGCCAGACTTGGGGGACACTTGTTTGTCTGTGGCCAGAGAGAAAATACATAAATTAGGGGACATTCTTCTATCAAGCATTATATCTAATGAGACATGAAGACACTTTCAATGAACACAATCAAGTCACACTTGACTTTTGCAAGAAATATTAAATATCATATAAAGTGGACTCTTTAAGCATGAATCATTACTAAGGCACACAGTTTAGTGAAGTGCATTTTGGAGACAAACTGATGCTACTACTAGTTTCAGAAATTAGTAGTCCCTGTTACAAAAGTGTTTTTAGTGGCTGATGTTTAACTGCACATATAAAGCACAAAAACGTCGTTCTACTGCTTGATATCCACCATAACTGCATATCAGGATTGCGACTTATGTTTTTTTACTGTGTATTAGGATTTGCACTCAATAATAGTTAATGAGAAAAATAACAATAGCTCATGGTACATTGTTTCAGTAGCTGTTTTGTCCTCTTTTCCTCGTTAAACGTCACATCTCAGCATTTCATTTATTCCCATGTGCAATAAGCGCTCGTAATTCTAATATGTAACTCTTATACCTTATCTCATCTTATCCCTATTATTATATATATTTGCTTTTCTTATTAATATCACTGTTTTCTTGCTTTTTTA